GGTGGGGGGGGGGATAAAAAGCTGAGATAAGGCCGCCCATGCCTTCTATTTTTTTCCGGCTCTCTTAGGTTTTTTGTTGCAACGGCATCGATTTATTAATGACCATCCACGGTGCACTTACAGCTGGCTTCCTGTCTGCCATTTCCCCTCCTGGCCTCCTTCCTGTGATCTCTCTCTCCCTCTCTCTCCCTCCCTCTCTCCCCCACCCCTCCCCCCCTCCCTTACCCCTAGCTTGGGGGCACGCTTGGTCCATCCGAGTTCATCGCTCAGAGCTTCCGCGGTCCTCCCCTCCAGAGAAACTGGAGACGCTCGCCAGGATGAAAAAAAAATGACCCAGTGTGCATTTCAGCTCTGGAGTATGAGGTCGACGGCAGTCCTGCTTACAGGAATTCAGGCTCCATGATCAATGTGCTACAATGGATATAAATAGATAATAAAGAATGACATCAATATCAAATTTGTTTAAGTTGTTCCTGTGTAATACACACACACACACACATATATACACGAAAATGCCACATTCTTTATATATAAAATCTGGCACTGGTTCAGTTCTAAGTGGAGTTCTGATGGACTCCCTACAATCGCTCTGGGGTCTGACATTCATTCACTCCCATCTCTCACGGCTATCTGCAGAGAGGTGGTACCCACAAGTTTTGTGCCACCGTCGTCCCTGCTGCTGTTGAAAAGAACGAGAAACGGCAAGGAGGCAAATATGTTTCTGAATGTGGGGCTCAGATTATCGTCTCGTCTATCATCTTACGTCTCTCTGCATCAATCATCGACCCCCCCCCCCCGGAAGCCATTTGTTTTCGTTCAATTTCGTGGGCCGTCATTCCCGCTCCCTGCTGTGGCTGACTGCAGAGCCTGTTGCCCGATCTCTGTTTGCTTTCGCTGGGATGGTTTGCGTCGTTGCCCCTTGTCCAGGGCCTGTTTCACAAAGCAGGATTTCTTGCTTAGCTGCATATCTTGTCGGATTTAAGGTAGTCTGGGCTAGATGTACGTAAATGACAATAAAGTCTGTTTATACCAGGATACCTTAAATCTGACAAGTTGTCCAGCTAAGCAAGAAATCTGGCTTCATGATACAGGCCCCACGTCTGGGGTGACTTGGACTTGGTTCTGGGAGGATGCAGGCCCCCCCCCCTGAAATTAGTGGGGAGAATCGCAGGCCTGTACCACAATAGGTTTCCGAGCGTATAGAGAATGTGAGAGTCATTCTCCAAATTTAACAAATTAATTATTGTTTATTTCTTCTTGTTGTTATAACAACAGAATTGTGGCAAGAAATTATGGCGCATAATGTTTTCCTGCTTCCTTGAACGCCTCCCCCTGCCCCCCCCCACCAGCCCCCCCTCCCACCCTAAAGACGCCAGTGGGTTTAATTCATATGTATTTCTGTAGGGGGCCTGTAGAGGGGAGTCATGACTAATTGGGAAAATGTTATTCCGCGTAAAAAGTCCGTATTATTAGCTGAAAGGTCATCCAGGTTTCGTGTGGTCTTGGAGACGCGTTTCTACATTCCTGTAACTGGATCACAGATCTGCGCCGTGAACAGGAGATCTAAACACCTAAGTGCTCCTAAGTCAGAGAGGACCCGCTGTAGTAGCCGCTGAGGGTTACGCTCAGCTATATGCGGGGGGGGGGGACCTTGCTTGAACGGATGCTTTTGGGAAAAGGATCTCAAGGCAGGAGGCAATAGAAGATGTGCAGAACCTGAGCTGATGCAGAACATTCTCCCACCTCGGAGAACAAAGAAAATCATCCTCTAACCAAATCGGTTTCCAATCAATATGACTTTTGAGCATATATGGGGCTAAAAATTAATTCAGCAGATGATATTAGGTGCTATACTACTGGGTGAACCAAGGCTTTTAGCCTGCAACACCTGTGATCTCCACCTAGTTTCCCAGTGTGTTTCGTCCTTCCACTTTGCTAATTGTGCCTCCAGACCATGTGTATCACCGCAGAGACCATCTGAGTCTCAAGGTTGTGCTATGTGGCAGTTTCAATGGCAGTTTGGGCCCTGTAATGCCATGAAACTTCGTTTATTAAGTTTTAATGACGGACGACAACATCTTGAACCCCAACCTGAAAGTGTGTTAATCTCCACAGTGATTAACTGCTCTTGTACTTGTTTAGATACTTCTTTAGTCTTCAGTATCTCCACTGAAGTATCAACAACTGGGTAAAACCCTAAATCATATAATAATCAGCTAAATAAAATGACATGGTAATCTGTCTGCAGGATTTCTTACCTCCCATAATGCTCAGTCATCCGGCACGAGTGGTCAACAAGTCATTAGGGATTCCTGAGAAGGGCTGACAAATCCACTCACCCCGACAGGCGTGTGATATCAACAAGTGTTTTATTCAGCAGGAATTGTGAACAATCTGTCTGCAATCCAACATTCTCCACAGAGGGCAAGAGGCCACCGGTGGTGACGGTGCTTCCGCCCAAGCTAATGAGCTTAGCCAGCGCTCGCCGACTCTCTGCCAGTTGTCAGACTCTTCTTACATTGTCTCATTAACACTGGTCTTCATGCAGCCAGACATCTCACATTTACACGTGTTAAAAAAGCAGTGACACGGCTGACCCTCGCGCCTCTTTGGCGATCTTTTGTCGATTGATTTTTGATGAGGTAACTGAAATTCCACGAATGCCGTAGTGGAGCAAATCCTGAAATTGCATGATAAATCCTGCAATAACGTCCATTGATTGAAACCCCTAGTTAAACTTATGGTATATTTTTGAAAACTAAATTCTCATGTTTTTTCCCCCTTGTCTTTATGAGGATAACTAACCAGTTAGTGAATCTCCTTATTATGTCCTAAACGCATTTAGATAACCATTCCAAGTCATGCTGTTTTTTTTTTTTCCTTCATGAAGACCTTTTTTAAAACACATTAACGCTGCTATACAATTGTGCAATATTTTGGGTGTAGGTTAAGTGACTTTGGAACGTGTTAAAGTTCACTTCCTGTCAGTTCCTGCAACTGTGTGATATATTCAGTCATTGTCTCGTGGGTCAGCCTATCAGAGGAGGCGAAGTGGAAGATACCAAGATGCTCTGCGTACAGGGATCATGCTGCTCTTTGTCATTCCACTGGTTTATGTGTGTCGTTGCACAATTCATTATGCAGTAACAACTGACAAACCTGCATATACTACAGAGTTTCTAGATGCTACAGTATGAGATGATTGTGTGGTGTAAGAGCAAGATATTGTGTTCAGTGGGATGGATGTAGAATTTTTAGCTAAGTGAACTTTTCCAAACACACGGAGTAAAGTTGTATGTGACCCTACTATTGGCATCTAAAACACTTAAAATTTAAAATTGGTTGTTCTGTAGTGTTTTCTGTTACTCTATCCGCCTGTCAGATCACAGCAAAGCCTGCAGTGGTTGTTAGCTGTCACCAGTCCATCCTATTTGTCTTCGTCTGACTATCCCTGCACATCGCATTGTTATACGAGTGTTACTGCTGTGATTCGGGGGTCATGCGTGTGTGTGTGTGTGTGTGTGTGTGTCCCCGCTGGAGTGAAAACTCAGGCTCTGTTCCATTAATACATTACATATATTTTAGGACAGACAAAAGTACACTATGACTTTAAACACCTTGATAATAATGGAAGATAATAGTTCACAGTACTCTTTGTCAAGTCATTTGGCATAGGGATCAATATTGAATAATAATAATAATTTAAAAACAGTAGAAAAAATAGCAATTAGCCTTTTGGGATCACATCAAGATGTTTTTTTTATGCATTCACAGGCTTTCCACAAATACGTTTGCTCGCTTACACCACTAACTGATTGAAATAGCTTACAAATAAAAAATATATCATATAAAACGATGGCCACAAGGCTGTGCAAAAGGGAAGACGTCCAACCAATCAGCTTCGCTCTCAGTTTCTCTTCCTGTTTCCAGCCAACCCTTGCAAGTAACAAACTACAAAATAGCACCATTATACAGTGGATAAGATTCCTTAATACGGTTTTGCTATATGATACCATTATGTACAATGATAGTAGGACGATGCATAAACTAAAATAAATGGGAATACTGTTTGATTATACGCAGGTACAGAAGAAGACAGTGTGTTTGTGATGTTCCGTGTCATCGGGTCACCACTATGGTGCGTATATCTCAGAGGGACTGGCTTGTCTCAGTCTGGAAGCCACAACATTCGGAGATCACGGACTGAGGAGATGGTGGTAATTCTTATGAACAGGGAGCCAGTTTGTGTGCGTGTGTGTGTGTGTGCAGGTGTGTGTGTGTGTGCGTGTGTGTGTGCAGGTGTGTGTGTGCGTGAGCATTCTGGGTAGCAGTATCGTGTGTCTGAGTAATTCGGTTTGGTTGCCGGTGCATATTAGTTGTCTTTTTTCTCTCGTTTTTTTTTGTTTTTCCCAAATGAAAAAGCATGCGGTCCAAGGTATTACAAAAGCAAAGGATCCTTCGCTAATCTACCAAAGGAGAAAAACACAGGACAAGTGGAATCAATCGTTAATCTCCTGTCTCTGCATGGCAACACTAATACGCTAATGCCCCCCCTCCCCCACCAAACAGGCTCGCAGTTAAGAACATATCTGGCTCCAGGACACACAAAATCACCCTTCCAAAAAAACGTCACGGGCTGAACATCCCGTTCCAGCGAACGCAAACCACGGTGACATCTTTTTCCACACGTTCACAGATGTTCTTAGAAAGCCCCAATGACAATGGGAGACTGTTGGTTTCAGTTGGTAAAACTCTTTTAATCTGTTTTTTTCGTCTTTCCCAGAATGCATTCCAGTGGCATGCATGGTTGTGTCATTTTGACCTAGGGAAAGAGGGATTTTTTGCTTTTTTTTTTGCACAGTCAGTGCAGACAGAAGAATGGTTAATACACTGGATAAAATCACGTGAGACAACCATGATGTCTGCAGGCCGAAGGCAACGTGATAAAATTCGACCCAAGATTAAAAATCACACTCTCTTTTTCTAGCAAAGCACCCAGCTTGTGTATGGATTAAAACATTGGTCCTCTCTTACTGTGAAGTGGACACCCCCCCCTCCCATTTTTGGGCTGCTCCATCTGATGACCTCAAGCCTGTTTTTAACCCTCTCTACTGCAGTTCAGTGGCAGGAGGCAGACCGGGGGTGGGGGGTGGGGTTTCATTCCCAGGCAGGATGGGTCTTCAGAGAGGACGGATGCTCAGATGATGCGCACGACCTGGGTGTGCAGGAAGGTCCTCCCACAGCCAGGAGGTGCTACAGCTCTCGCAATGGAGTCAAGCAGCAAATTTCTCCTTTCAGTTTAACATATATCTTTTAGGTGGATAGTGATCTCCCCCCCCCACACACACACACATTACTTTCTTACAAATAACAGTGTACATTATGGACAGAACTCTCTCCCTTCTTGCTATTTGGTACTTATTGAGCATATTTAATCAATATCCTGTTTTGTTTTGCTTATTTGTTTTGTATTATCTTCGTTGTTTCTACAGTGAACCATTACATGTTGGGACAAGGTTGGGGGCCCACACCCTTCTCCATCCTTCCGTCAGTCGATACGTCCCTCTATCACCCCTGCGGGTCCCTCTGGCTGCCCTCCTGGGCCTCCTCCTCTACATCCGGTAATTCCTGCCACCTGTATTTCCTCGGCTGGAATTCTTGTGATGCACCTCCTGCAGGGGACAAGGAGATACGGGGCAGGAATTGTGGTTAAGGTACGGCTCGGCCGCGGAGGCGATTCCAAAAAGCATTAGAACATAAGAAATTTACAAACGAGAGGAGGACTTTCGGCCCATGAAGCTCGTTTGGGGAGAACTTAACTAATAGCTCAGAGTTGGAAAACATTGGAACATTGGAAACACGACGCCCAGTCCTCAGTAAATATGAACACAGCCCTCGTCGCTGGAAGACCTCATGTTTAAAAGAGAGGCTGTCATTCAGACTGTTGTCTCTAAAACACCAGTGTGCGCTGCTCTTTGACAGGCAGGAAATTTCATGGGGGGGGGCACAGACGGGACTAGGAGCTCTGCCACTCACATTCTATAGACTCCCAGGCTTCTACTTTACCGCACCCCCCCAGCCTGGTCTGCATACTCAGGCACCTCAGGCTAAGCTGCATCTCTGCCAGACTCCATGCAAAGCTGAGACACAACAAAGCCGGGGGTCCCAGCCGTCGTGGGGACTAGGCCATGCTGCAGAGAACGGCCATGCACAGCCCAGCGTCCCACGGGCCCGACATACCTTACAAGATGGGTGACTATTACCAGATAAGTGTTTCTGTGAAAAAGATTCAAAAGAGAAAGACTGGCAACCATGTTTCGACTACCAGAATCATAGGCAGTCAAGATGAACCAGCTCACTCAGTCAATGGCAGTACGTCCTGCAGCGTTAGCAGGTGAACGTAGCATGTAGCATGTGGTTTTATGATGTTTATGTAGCTTGTAGCATAAGATGCAAGTCTAGCTGCTACTGTTGGCATATGTGTGATATGATTCCTGTGTAGCATGTAGAGTTTGGCATACATTTGGCATTTTTTTTGGGGTAGTTCCCTATAATGTGCAGTTGTGTGGCGTGTAGTATTTAGCGCGTAGCGTTCGGCATACCTTCTGTGCTTTCGGCGTGTCCGTGTGGCGCTGCGCTCGCACAGAGCGCGCCGCCTTCCCGGACTTGACCGGCGCACAGTACATCTCCAGCCGGCGGAGCTCACAGCTCTGGAAGCAGCATTCGTCCACGATGCCTCGGTTCTGCGATCGCCGCGAGCTCGGCCCGTAGCCCCCGGGTTTACCTGAGGAGATACGACCAGAGAGACGGCTGAGGACACACAGCCCAAAAGAGGGACGCCCAATGAACCAGACCAAACTTCAACCAAGGCGGTGCCAAACAAGTCACAGTACTGAAGTACAAGCGTGACCATCATCCTTACCTCACCTTGCGACTGGACAAGATACAGTGCTAGAACATGTGATTTTAGAACTAATATACATACACCTTTGATCACAACAACGGCTAAAGATCTTAACGTCCAGTTAGCAAATGCTAATTGGAAATTCTAGGCCCTCTTTGCATTTAAGCAGGACCGGCTCCACCTTTTCAGGGGCCAAAACTGTACTGGGAGGTCTCCCCTTCCAAGAAAATTGATGATCATTTCACTTCAACCGCAATCCAGGTAACTGTACCCTATGCAACTGGCCATCCATTCTACCTATAGCTAGAGCAGGCCCTGCATGTAAGTCTTCTTTAAAACAAAAAGCACAGCCAAAGTCGAAACCCCCTCCACTAAGACGGACCGTAGCTCGGTTCCTATGAGAACCCACAGAGAACATCCAAAGCTTTTTTGGACTCTGCTAAAGGTACTGGAGCCAAATTCTCTTTGGAGTGGAACCCTGTAGGTCTGCTAACCCCAATACACTGAAAATGGATATAAGAAAGAGGGGTATTCGACCCTAATCCCCTACACCGAAGGCCCCGTTGCTGTGCAAAGGCAAGGGCCAGAAGCAAGCCTAATTGCCTTGATATACGGGGTGGTGTTAATGACGCCGATTTCGCTGGTGTAAAATTTACAGGATATCGCATTGCGCTGCCAGAATGCGGGGCCCCTCTTGGCTGCTGTCCCCATCCAGGAAGCGAAGTCACGGTCACCCGAGAGCATCACGGTCTGACGCTTCGTGCCTGACGACGCTTCACTGCCCCCCCTCCCCCCCCAGCCGAGACTGACTGAGCTGGCCTGAATTGACCCGTTTTGAAACTGCGTTCCCTCCTCCCCCCCATCTCTCCTCACTCTCACAAAGACACCGATGTCACAGCGCATGCCCTCGGGAGATTGGGGGAGAGGCACAACCAAGGAGAGACAGACAATACCAGGGGTGTCGTGAGAGATTTTGGACGCAATGAAAGAATTTCATATTAGCCCTCCAACCCAGACTAACTCATTAATTTCAAATATTTTAAGGCCCCTGTCACTCAGGGGTTCTTGGAATTGTCCTGACTTTCCCCTTCTTTATGGTACCTCTAGACAGCACTATCTGTCAAGAGCTCAAATCTTACAGCAGACGCAGAATCTCTGAGGGAAACATGCATGACCTGTGTGGTCTGCAAAGGGTCAACCTCCCAACAGCCTCTAACAAACACACGACGTACCGTATATCATTACGTTCATTCGGTGGCCTTGTCTATTTCTGACGGAACAGGAAACCCAGGAATTCTGACATGCTGCTTGTGTTGCGAGTATTAGGGTGTACAAGTCCAAACAGTTCTGTACAAGTCCAAACAGTATTAGGGTGACAAGAAAGATTGATGTTGGAAGTACTTTGTGAAAGGTACAGATCTTTTGATCTCCATAGTTGTATTTATCCACTTTGGTGCCATCCACAGGTCTAAGAGATTGTTGTTGTAGGGTTTGTGTATTGAGTTACTTTAGTGGGAGAACTGAAGTACCTGTAAACATACTACCAGTGCTGTGACAGGTATCCAATCAAAACAGTCACACGACTAACTAGTGGACTTGCTGAAAGTAGCTGAAGTAATAAATGGACACACAGTTTTCAGTCTGTGAGATTCGCATGAACGGACCCCCATGTGACCCTCCTGGACCCTGTCTTGTAAGTGGTTCTCAGGCAGACGCACTGAGTCCCCCCACCCACCCCAAACTTTCTAAAGCATAACCACACTCCATCCATAATTCCCAATTCTCCTCCAGCCCAGAACACTTCTCAAAAGGAGCCCTACAGCTCCAATAGACTTTTCCCTGTTACCAAATGAAATAATCATAATGTAATATGGCATTTACAAGGAGGAAATGCCTTTCCCTTTCACAGTTAATAGCTCTTGGCTCGGGGGACGGCTGACAGAGCGCATTAACTTCTGCGCGCGGCCTGCCTTGTTGTGACAGTGCTCTGTGCCGGACGTCCAAGGCCTACCATTGTGAAACGGGCCTGTTTTCCAAAGAGCGGAGCCCATGGGGGGGGGGGGGGGGTGCCCCAGTGTGGGGAGGATAAGGAGGAGCTGTGGGCCTCTCCACAAACACACGCAGGGCTCTCTGGCGCTCTGATGCGGCGAGCTTGCTGCCCCAGCCGTCTCGCTGCGATCTCTCCCCGCCAGGCAGGGCCAGACGAGTGCAGAGGGGTTAGAGAGAGATAAATTAACCTTTATTATTGGAGCGCTCCATTCATGCGCTGTGTGCGCGCATTTTGGCAACCGTCTCCGTATCCCTGTCACACTAATAAAGCAAACAAAATTTAAAGACCGAAGCTGAGAGAGGAGGGGGCGAGAGAGAGAGAGCAAGAGGAAGCCATTAAACGTGTATATATATCAGCTCTCAGGCACGGCCGGATCTGTGAGCAGCTGACGAAATGATGGAGCGTTAATTCAATCTGCTCCTCCGCCACGTCCAAACGCTGGTAAATACATTTTCCCGGCTCGGCCTCCTGAGCAATCGATGAGAAGCCTCTGGGTCTCTCATCCACACGGCAGACGCAGAGGTGACTCGAACAGCCCACCCTCCTATAGCCGTGTGATATCTGACGGAGGTGTTGAATACACAGTAAGGGTGCTGTAAAGCTGGTCCCGTGTCAATTTTCACTTGGAAATGGCTCTTGAAGAACAGGATGTTGTCCAACGCAGGGATCCTGTTCTTCCGCTTCAATTAGCTATACCACAGCTTATCAGGGTTGCTTCTTGTGCGTAAGGGAAAATAGTTCTGTTCTCTGTGGTCCACAATTTATTTGTCCCAGCTTAAAATCTTATATGTGGGCATTGGGACTTCATTAAATCCCAAGTTTTCCTTAAGTGGCAACACGTTTGCCTGTGGCTCAGAGGGCAATCTGGAGAAAAGAGGCCTCCATCAATGTAATGAAACTTCTGGCAAACTTGAAGGGTTTTCTTCACGCCAGATGAAAAAATAACTACTGATCATTAGCTGGTGGACTGCATATTAATTCTTTCATTCTTCAAAACTGGGCAGCAATCTTTAAATGGGTTATTTATAAACATATATAAACAATTTTCTAGCATGACAGTATTTTAATAATTGGTTCTAATTTTCTTTATCTTTGTTTTATTGTTCACAAAATTAAGGTTTAGGGCGAAATGGAAATCAGAAATGAAGGGTTATTTTTTGCAGCTGAGAGAGAGAGCTGGACCATTACAAGGAAAGGGTCGGTCTTGGGTCCACCACCTCCGGCTGTGGTTAAGCGTCTCCCTCCACAAGCCCAACACCACATGACACTAGATAAATACTGACACTCAGAAGTACTCATGATGCCTCACCCACCCTGAAGCTCTGAAAACAGGAGAATTCTTGTAAACTTTCTCTGACATAGCAACTCCCACTCTCGTTCACACCCTCAATAGCTACTTTCTTTTCATCCTTTCATCCATCTTGTCCCCCTAGACCCGGCCACCCGTCACACATTACTTATGGCGCTTTTCCACTGGCATACAGGAACCGACCTGTACCCGACCTGTACCGCGAAGAGAGACTAGTTACAGCACGGTTCCAGCTCGCTTCGGTTTTCCACTGCAGAAGGGTCGGCTCGGTAAAGCCGTTGCCGGGTTTGGAGCGCGATAGTGATGTAAAACCAGTGAGATGTTTATTTACCCTTCACATGGTGTACATCATAATTCACTATGTGCTAATTTCTTAATTTTCTAGCACATTTGTGAGAATCGTCATGCTATGCAAGCATCAAACAGCAGTGGAATTAGCATTCACTTGCATGAATTTGCATTACGAATCCATTCCGTTCAGTTGTTCTATAGTACTTCTTTTAAGTAGGAGGTTGGAAAGTTCTGAGTTTTCTGGAAAGCACCGCAATGTGCAATACTACTAATAATGAATAATACATAGAATATACCCTTTTTTCTTCAGATGATCCATGCACAGAACACAGATTTCTCCTTGCATTTTGACCAATCAGATGGTGGAGACACAACCGACTCAGTTTGCTCATACTTTAGGCCCTAGTAAGCAGGGTCATGTAAGCGCAGGTACAGCTTACATACTTTACGATGGAAAACCGCCAGTTCCTGTACGGCTTGGGCAGGGCTCGGTTCTTGGTGAGGGTGGAAAAGTAGCAGATTCTTCTACGACGCACATTGCCTAACTTGATGGCTTTGCTTCCAGGTCCTGTCTTCCTTTTGCAGTTTGAAGCACATAGCTGGAATAAAAGTGATTGTTTTCCTTCGCTCTGGGCTTGGCCTTTGCTACCTAATCTACCACCCAGGCCACTAACACTCTGGTCAAAGGCCGGAACGTTCTCACCTTACATGACTGTGCCTTAAGATTAACTGGCAGAACCATTGTTCCTCACCCCAGAATCCAGAGTAAAAGCCCACAGTTGGATCCTGCCATTATGCAATCAAAGGTTGTGACGAGCCAGACTTCTCTGAAGTGGGTTGGCTCCTGTTTTGCTCTCCCCCCCCCAACTCCCGTGGGACAAAGCTCTGCAAATTAACATCCGCTGTTTTTTTCAAAATAACCTGTAACCACACAAACAGCTGGAGAGGAGAGAGGAATAACCAGCTGGTCTTAAAAGGGGTGCTTTTGGAAAGATTACACCCTCCGATCCCTTGTAAACAAAGGGCTTTATACGCCAGGCTTCATAAATAAATACATGAGGCGGTCTTTCATGCGCTGCCTCTTGGCGAGGAAACAAGTTTCTCCAAAGCAGATCAGCGGTGGACTGGCCTTTAACTGTGTTCCCACTCATGTGCATTTCGTTGTGGAATACATATCAGATTGCCCAACTTTTCTTTGGCTTTGACAGAGATCTTGGATCCCCCAAAGGCCTGCTGTTCCAGGTGATCTTGTTGCAGTTGCAAAGTGGAAAAGTCCAGTAGAGAACGACAATTCATACGTCTGGAGGTGTTTCCTGTTAAAACTGAATTATCCCGAGTTCATATTGGGGACGAGCTCATATGGTAAAACCTCCTGATGGGGCTCTAGATGGTGATGCTCAGGTGTGCAAGCGGAATGAAGGATGCGTTAAAGGACACCAAGGCCAGGAAGACAATTCAGGCCAGTGAGAACTCTGCTTGATGCTTCCTATCAGTAGGAGGATAAAGAGAGGTTCAAACTGCACTGTCGTCGCTACTGTTAATGTTGACTTTGGTGGGACCAGCGTGTGAAAGAGACAAGGTCAGCAATCTGGCCAATGGCTCAAAGGCCTGTTTGCTGAGGACACCGAACATATCACGCATTCCTGAGAGGAGCTATTCAGGAAAAAAAAAATGGCTGGGATCCCCATCCTGAGTGCCACAACAAGGATATGAGTTTTACAGGCTTGCGTTGGTTAATAAAAACCAGCGGATTCCTGAGACCAAGCAGTGCACGCTGACTGCAGAGTGTCAGGGAGTTTATGGCACGCTGGGGACCATACAGGCCTGAAAACTGCCTTTTTATCACTGGCACCACAAAGTGTTTATGGCGGAGCTAAATTTCCCTCACTTTTTAGAGAAACTTTTTTGTCTTTATAGGCTGAGCAATTAAGCCCCAACGTTTCTCCGGATTCTTGTTTGTCTACCTCACAAGCTTCTGGTCCTTTCACAAAATGTTAGGTGGCACATCAGCGGCTGAAAGAGTTTGGTTCCCTGTTGGGTTTTGTGAAGAGCCAGTCACAGATCAGCACAGTTTAGAACAGCTCAGGCTCCTGTGAACGATTTTAACATTGCACTTCAACATTTACTGTTGCTCAAGCACATGTTCAGGGGTCCATTGGCCTGAACCCAATCCCACATTCCCCTGTTCCTCTTCAATAAGGCCCTACTGCAAGCTTCAGGTCAAGCGCTCTTTGCACATTATCCACCGTCTCATGCATATGTTTCAAAGAAAAGCACAGGAAACATAATCAAACCAAGGTGCTCCGTTATTCTTCCCCTCCAGGTGCAAAATCACCTTAAATCAGCTTCCCTAAGCAAAGAGGACTCAGGTGCTCAGTCCCATGTGGAAACTTCTGCTTCGCCTTGGTGTCGCCAACGGCCTCATCAAGGAAACGTTCCTTGAAAAGTAAACCTTTGTTTTTCGTTAGATAAACATCTACGGCTCCACAGACGGGACAGATAGGGATACTTGCTCCAAGAAGTTCCAAGCAATTTACGGCACCATCATCAACAGTCTCTGCTTTCATTTCTTTTCTCGGACTGTCATTTCATACAGGCAGTTATGAGTTTTGAACTATGGATAGTTTTACTGCACCAAAGGGAGTCGCGTCGCTGACAGTAATGCAGGAGTTACAACTTGTTGTTTAAGCTCTGCTGAAATTTTCCACTAACCCTCCCATCCTTTCACCCCCGTCCTGGATCAAGGACATGTCACTTTTGCGATGGTAGGAGAGAAAGACTGGTGTTCCCCCAAGGATACTCTGCTGGGGGCATGTTAGTGTGGAAAATCTCATTACATCATGCAGAGTAACAGCCTCTAATTGGTCCCTGTCCTTTTCAAGAAGCTCTCACTGTTTGGGCAGGACATCGATGGGTCGGCAGACATGTTCCTCCATGCAGATGATGGCAGTGTTCCCCCTAGATGTTGCTCCAAGAACTGCATTCCTTAGACCATAGACCAGAACTCAGTGAACCCTGCATTCATGACTACTCTGAGGCTGATCTCCATCTCTTTGAAAGCAATGAGTTGCAATAACGGGCTCATTGTCAAAAGAAGAATGAAAATGGAATTGGCTGCTTGTTGTGCTGTGATTCATCGCTAAGTGTCTAGGTAAGTGCTGTTGTGGCTTTGAGGGAAAACAGCCTTCTTGGCCAACAGCAGACCAGACATCTTACTTAAGGATGTTTTCCCTCCTCCTTAAAAATGGGGTAAGCCCAGCAGAGACCGTGGAATAACTATAGTTGCAATAGATACTGTGAGACCAGTCTGAGTTCTGTGTGGGGACAGAGGAGGGGTCTTGCTGGCTGCAATCCCCGTTATGTTAATACCATCTAGAATCTTCTTCTCTGGTTTCATATTTACCTTGCAGTTAGAATACCACCGAATTTCCCTCGCTGCAGATGCAGTTTCTGGATCAGTCTGTCTGCTCGAACATTAAAAAAGACATCACTAGATTTCTAGGTCAGGCTAATAATTGGAAAAACTGACTAGAGCTGGGTTTTTTTTTTCAGACCACATTTTGTTTCAATAAAAGGTTTTTTTCCACAGTGTCGTATTTCACATTTCTGTCAAGGTAATGAAATCTGAAGTCTTGAAATCCAAACGTGGCCACTTTCAGGGTGACGTACGCAAGGTGGATTGGCATCGTCTTGGCATGGCGACGCCGCTGTCTTGTCCCTGGGTATAGTCACCGGCACCCTGTGTTTCCACGCTGCAATGTGGCTGCCCATTGCTCACTGACCCACAAACGGATCTGCCGTGAGGCTGCAGTCATTCTGCCCCTCTACTCACACGCCATTTACTTCCCGTCATTTACTGACGCAAAACTCCACTTTAAATGAATTCCCCACACTGCAGTGCTGCTGATTAGCAGCTCTGCCTACATCTTTGCTCCCACGACACTTACGGTCTCCAGATAAGCTGTTTTCATGGGCTTGACCGTAGAATACATCATTCAAACCACAAACATTAACTGCACTAGACATTTTCATTGAACGTAGCTCTGGGAACGAGGCCTTGTCCTGAATTCACCCCGGACACACAAATACCCAAACCTTGCCCTGGCCTCATTATATATCTTACTTCTGGTATCCCGGTGACAACTAGCTCGCGGTACCGTAGTACAACATTATAACAATAAATAATGTCAACGTACTGGACCGTGTCTCTGCCTACTGCATTGTTCCAACCCCTTTCTTGGATAGCTATTCCCATTCCCTGTCTCTTTCTCCTGATTGGCTACTCAGACTCCTTGTCCACAGTGACTCCTCCCACCACAGAGCCCTCTTCTGATCCATTTCCAGCCCCTGGCACCAGGCGGTCTTAACGGACGCTCACACTGCCAGAGCCAATCGGATCGTGATGCCTCAAGCAGTCGTACCGGCGCTGATCCGAGCGGCAGCAGAGCCTCCTGGGGCACGGGGCTGGACCCCTGGCAAGCTCAGTGTCGCTCATGGGTTTTTCTTGGTATTTGCTTTCAGGGAAAAGGCAGCAGTGACAGCATCCAATGCCAAGGCAGAGCCTGACTGGCATCATGCCAGATGAACCTGATGCTCCTAGCGGCTGAGCTGCCATCGGCGCCTGGCGGCTCGCTAACTCAGATCGTGCCGGGGCACTAAGCGGGCACCGCGGGGCCTCGCCGCAGATCGGCGTCATCGCCCCTTGTTTTGTCTGTCATGCCTCCACCGCTGTGGCGAACCCTGTATTCAAACGCGGCGTCCAAACCGGCAGGCGGACGGCCAGGATGGGGGGCCGCCGCTCTCAGCTGCATCTCCACACCTCCCAGAAATAAAGGGCTCCTTTTGGAAAAAGTCACCGTGGCACGGATCGTCGCATAAGGGAATACGAAATAGCGGCAAGGTCAGACAGGGTTCCTTTTGGACGAATACACCTTCCTTTGTCTGAGGCGAAAGCTATTCCCAGCTCGTCATCTCGGCATAGCAAGAAGAGACAAGTTGTTCTATAGTACAACCAAACCATTTCATTTGAACTTTCCTGGATTACTAAAGTATATGACAAAAACAGCATGTAGCCCCAGGACATTCAATGGCCGTGCAGGTGCTGTATTACCGTTTTATGATTGATGGCAAAAATAGTGGTAACTTTTCTGATATCTAAAATATCTAAAAACAGATCTTATGAATTAAAGGTCTGCTAGAGTCAGTACCACTTCTTATATTGCACCAGAAAGGCCCTCTGGGTAGTGAAGGGAAGCAGCCTGTTTTGGGTGCAGTACCTGATTTGGCCGCCAGGGGCAGTGCACATTGCCTCAGCATTCGGAGACCCCGCGTCCATGCTACGAGCGGTGGCTCCCAGAGAAGCGGCTTGCCACTTGGCGCGCTGACCGTGGTACCTCGACTCGGCATTGGAATGCTAGCCTGGCATTCACCATTTAAAATGGAAAATAGGCAATGGATTCCACACAGAGGGTTTTCTTTGGGTAACTTTTTCTCTCTGTTGGAAAAAAGCTCACTTGTGCGCAGATTTTTCTTTTTTCCCTCCCCTCATTTAAACACAGGCAGCCAAATTCCACTTAAAGCCCTGTCCCCAGGGACAGAACAGCTACTTGCCATGAATATAATATACTTATAGCTGTTAAATATCAATCTACACTTAATCTAACCCTCAGCAGCCCATATAACGCTAACCTCGCTATTCTTGCATCGTCTGCACTTTAAGGCCTGCTGATCTACACTATAGATTGACTTGTCGTCCCATCACACATGAAAGCGACAAAGGGATTAACAGATACACTCCAGCACCTTCTCTTCTTATAAACCCAGCTGAAGCCCAAAAATAAAAAAGGGGGGAAAAAGAGGACACCAAAAAAAAAGGCAGCTGTTTCTTTATTTATGAAGAGCCCATTAGCACTGGGGGGGAGAAGCACTGGTTGTACTTTATGAATAAATAAAAAGTGCACTTACTGAAATAAAAGCCTCTCTCTCCGCACACGAACTGCAGCGTGTCCACCAGCTCCGCTCCGCACAGCGTCTCGGGACCCGCCGTCGCAGCTGGCGTCAGCGCCAGAACGCACAGCACCAGGGACAGGGTATGGGTACAGGAGATACAGCACATCTTACTCTGCGACCAATAGGGAGAGGGACACCGTCAGAGGATTCCAGCACAGCACGCAGGGCGACCAATAGATAGCGAGGGATGCGGTCACTGGGAGCACATAGCGCGCCAGGCCGCCTAAGCCTCTTCCACAGCTTTAAACTATTATTCTTATCCCTCGTGTAATCGTGACGCTTATGATCAGCAATAGTATTTCGCTTCAGTCCTTTAAAGTTTCGTAATCATCTCATTATAATCAAGGACGCCGTATCCTTTCCTGTCCTCAAGGATGAGTGCACTGATATCTCTGTAGTTACAGATAAACAGGTGGCCAAACACAGACGAATGGTTAGCGACGGACTTGCGGGGTGGGGGGGGGGGGGGGGGGGGGGGCTGCATAGACGTTGCTCATTCAGGCTACCTGCCCAACTCGCAGAGGCTGAATCCCACGATCGGAACGGTCAGGTGGAATCTACCGAGCTCACATGCGCAAGCCGCATCCAGGGAGAATCGGTGTTTCCCACATCTGTCCCAGCCGTAAATGCATTTTATTCAAAAGAGTAACTGTGCCAGATTAAGGAAACGACCGCACGTAAAGTGTTTCTAGAAACAAACAAGAAGTTTACAGTGTCTAGGGATGGGCTTTAAACGGTATTTTGGCGAAATCTCACACGCGGCATTTATATAGTTTTTGGCCAAAAGCCCTATACAGAAGCAATGTGTGCCATTTTAGCATAAAAGGCACATAAGCTATTTATTTAATGAATGCTCGGATCATTTTAAACAAAATTTCTTATATATACTGGAATACTGTCCTATTTACCTTGATGATTAGCTAGCGGATTGTGGTTATGGAAATCAGCAATTTAATAGATAATAATTAATAATAAATAAAGTAAGTAGTAATAGGAAGCAGTGAGACACCGTTGCTCAGATGCCTGAAAACACACGCACATTAAATGCTGAGCCGGGGATCTTGCTAAAATGAGATGGAAACTGCAGAACTGCCAGAATCGGTGGCAAGAGCTCGAGGAAGCTGCACGGGCCAAATTTACATAATAAAAAGAATCTACGGCGGATTGTCGCGCGGCAGCCTGGAATCCGCCGCGCTTCTGCTCGTTTTCTCCAAGTGCGCCTGAGAGCCGCGGCTGTGCAGTAAAGCCATTTCTGCAAAAAGTTTGTTTATTCCGTTTTTTTATTTGTGCGGAGCTGTCGGAAATGAGTTTCAAAGTTCACAGCAACTGAATCCCCGTAACTTATCATTTATCACCACTACCCAATTAAATAATCCATCTAACATGCACTGAAAGACAAAACGTATCCAAAATGCTAAAACCGTACACACGTCAATAAACGTCCCGTTTATCTATATTATTATAGAGACAAACACGTGCTCTGTAGTACACCTAATAATAATACACGTCCACATAATTACAGAAATGACAAATTGCAACAGTAAATGAAATTATATGCATACGAAGACATGTACACATACAACACAAAACACCGATGGAAATACAACTAGATGTTAATCTACAGTAAAATAATACTAGTTTAATCAAAATGGTGTATTTCAAAGCTCAGTGATTAAGTTATGTCATCATTGATGCAATCTTTCTATTCATAGGTGGAAAGTATTTATTCACAGGATGTAAAACTAAGCGCCCAGCGCTGTGATGATATGTAATGCGTTATCAAATACAAGGTGTATTATTTAGAGTAAAACGAAATCCGTACAGTTACCTTGAAGACATCACACAACTGCCACTGAAAGAAGTGACCGGCGATCATACCCAAGGGTCTCCACGCGGCAAAGACCAGCAAAAATGAATTTGTTTGAAGTCATTAAAAAATCCAGCGAGAAAGACGATGGGATGGATGTAGGCAATGTCACATCTCAGTGTTTCGACAATGTTCCATTGCGCAGGCTCGTTTTGGTGAAGTGAGATTTAGCGAACAGGAGACGGATTTAGAGAGAAAATCCTTCACATTTATCTATATTACAGATATTTTCAACAGGAAACAGCTGTTGCAGTCTCTGCCTTCTCCTCTCGCTAAGTTACTCATTAGGAATTTTGGGCACATTTTCAAATAACGTCATTCCACTTTTTTTTCGATGGGATTGAATTTTGATCTCGTAAAGCCTTTCAAGATAAAAGAGAGTTACCGTGCCACCCGCGCTGCTTAACAAAGCTAGTTAGGAGAAACAGCACGTTATAATCAGTATATAGTGCAAATAAAATGCATTTTAAAAATCTGTGCGAATCAGCGACTAGAGCACATGACAATATTACTGCCCACGAAGCATTTGTGCGCTTTATTGGGTGTTAGGTGTGTGTGTGTGTGTGCGTGCACAAAAAGGTACCAAACAATCTGAGAAAGGAGAAACCTGACTGTGTAGAATTTAACTTAATTTAACGTCTTATTATGCTGTAATACCGGTGTTACTGAGAACATGCTATTTTCATTTAGACTGCTGAAAACATTCACCTACTACACTGCTGTTGGGGTTTTTTGTGCGCTTTGAATCAGAGACGCTGGGTCAGCTAAAATGAGGTAGCCAACAGTTCAGTTTCACTGAACATGAACTACGACTGCACTAAAACTTTATGAATCCGTTTGCGTTTGTTGGGTGTTGGTCTGGCGAGCGTCCGCTGGCTTTGGGAGACAAAACCAGGTCAGGCTGACCTTATACAATCGAAAGTCGGAGGCTGGCAGATTACGCTTCTCCGATGTCCGCGCAGACACACGCCTCATCTACATCCAGCCTACCTTTCAATCGGCACCTCTTGCACTTTTCCCGTTCCGCTCACATGTCAAGGATCAAGCCATCCACACTACTGTTCACCGAAACATAGTGGGCTAGGTTGCATGGGTTCATTTGTTTCCCAGTGAAACTGTTTTATCGTATTCCCTAAATGATCGGACCAGTTGAATTTCAATTTATCGTGTGACTTTTTGTCCCTGTTCTTAGGCTGCAGCGAATGTATGTATGGGAAGAGTTCGAAGAGGGCATGATTGAGTTTTGTGAACATGAGCATATCTTTTCATATTAGATATAGAGGAGATTCGATACTGAACAACTTATCCTCAAAAAACCTCACAAAAACACTTTTGCTTGAGCCGCCTGGGCAGTTGAATTGTGAGATTCATTGTTTCATCGATATGTTCAAGCTTGTAAAAGGATCAATGCTGTGAGTGGCATTATTTGCCTTTGAATGCTTAGACGGATATTTAGTATGAGACCATGCTCCTGATCAATGTTCCTTTTCCCTTGGTGATGTAGCGCTGCACAGAGCCCAAAGCACTACATGTACAATGCTGATGTCACAACACTAACCCTAGAGCACATAGTGCTGCTGGGCAACTGGAAGAAGACCTTTATCTCACACGGTTGCTGTAAACATCCACTGATGTTGTGGTCTTGGCTTGCTGGCTTGTACTTTTCTTTGGGTTACAATTCCCGAAGCATTTTGCACGACTGAGCCATGTCACAGAAGAATGGAAGAGATGCTGGACTCGGTGTCCTTCTTAATCGGGATGCTGCGAGGAAGATGAATCAGCGTACCACACTGGATCTTGTGAGGAGGAAGCCAGTGAAGACGATTGATTTCTGAGGCATCTAAAGTGCTTCTGCATCACTCAGGAGGTAAAAACTGCAGGCAGTTGTGGGTAAGATTCCTGGATACAAAGACCTGGGCGTCACACACAGCCATTTCTCTCCTTTGTCAAACACACACACAGCATAATCCTACAGCCGCTGCCTTCCCTCGTCTCACAAAACACCCTGCAGTGGATCCCCTTTATCAAACACACACGTTTTTCGCATTTTTCGCTGACGGCATTGTTTTTCTTTCTGCAGACATTTTCTAACGCAGACACGTTAGGATGGACGCGTCGGCCGCCATGCAGAGTACACGCCTCTCGTAAGAAGTCCCCCATCATTCGCGATCGTCACATTGCTTTGCCACCATTGCAATCCAAGGGAACAGCTGGGAGTATGACGTCACTGATGGAAAGCGAAACGCTGGCGTCACCAGACTCAGCTTGAACTGAAATCTAGGCACCTGCATCTTAGGACACAAATGCAATGTGACATGCCTACTGTGGAGCCCCCCCCCCCCCAAAAAAAAAAACAACAACCATCCACACCCCTCCCCCAACCACACACAAGACGGCAACACATCATCAAACGTAAGTTCACAGAGTACACATCAAATCTGTATTCAGAGGAAAAAACATGAAATATTTTAGGTACATTTTTTTTAAATGTAATTATTATGTTACTGCTTCAGCACACTAATTTTACACCAGATGACATTCTAGCTCCTGAGTGGTCGCATGACAGTAATACATAATTCTTGGCACCTGCCCTCAAACCAAATCTGTTCCCCTGCTTTCTCAAGCCCAGCCAGAAAATCCTCAACAGCTCCTATATTTCCAAGGATGAGGTAAACTCTGGAGGCACGTATGGTGACACACCAGTGGCACGTGCACATGAATGTTTAGGAAATGAAGTCAAAGAGATTACGGGATTCTGATCAAGGGGGGAGACTTAGAGAGAAGGCACTGAAAATAACCAAGCAGATGGAGGAAAAATTTGTGGCGGTTCACAGAACCAGGGGCATGGAGATGTGAGGCCAATGGCTGTCAAAAATAACATGGATACAACTGGATCCCTGATCACATGACACACAGACGCTGAAACGGTGACATTTATGAGATCATGAGTCATGCACTGCAGTGGAAGAATCATCACGGTCCTTATAACTGCTGTCTAATGGCCTTTCAGGATAATTGATACAGTTAATCCATTTATAAGACTTGTACATAAAACAACAGCAGGTGCATAATACCATTAAAGCCTCTTGGGACTAGAACCTGCAACCATAAATGTGACTCTGCACTACTGCTGTGAAGAGAACGTTTTCGAAGCTTTCTCGAGGCATGACACAAACGCCTTTACAGAAACAAACCGGAAAACACAGAGTTAAACAAAAAGGCTTGCATTCTGCAGTCTTCCATTGTTTTAGCCAATCCCTTCTGGGAGGTTCAAAATCCTCTGTGGTTCTTTCTGGCCCATGAGCACATTGTTCTACCCTTGGGGTCTCGCTGCTCCTAGTGTTCTTTGCTAAGGTGCAGAGGGTACCGCACAGTTCACTCCAGGGCGAGCGAACAATTGCAGAGTCCAAGTAGAGTTGGGGCCCAAGACTGTCATAATCCATAGTTTAAGCTGCACCGCCTCAGTAAATCTGATCACCTCAGGACAGGAGAGGGAAACTGGGTGCTCTTTCTCACTCCATAATATATTTCCACGGTGTCTGAGGCAGATAAATACTCCCCCGTAATATTACACTTTTCAAAGCCTTTCAAGGAACTTCAGATGACCTGGTGTGAGACGGGTGTGAGCGATCCTGGCTTTCGTTCCACACCTTCCATCCTCGGTGTAACCGTAATTTACTTCATTTAATGACCTCTCCTCTCTGTTAAATGTGTCAGTGTTATCATTTCAGATGAATAAAATAAACACTGGGAGCTTCTTCAACAATAACAGTCCCCCCCCCCCCCCCCGTCTCTCTCTCGCTCCCCTTTCCCAGATTCTGTTTGAAGCAAAGGGGGTAGCATCACCTTTGGATAGCTTTCTGTATTGCTCTCTCTGCCGTGCCGCCAGAACAACTGTCTCTCTGCCAGCCCCCTCCGTCTGGGAAGCTGCCGGCCCACTCGAACTCGCTGACCAGGAAAGGGTTTGTTTTCCCCACAGCGGACTCTGGGGGGATGGAGAGAGAGTTGACAGCATCCCACGTCTGGTCCCGACCCTGCTAGCTTGCCTGCACAGCATGCCTCTTCCTGGGAGGAAGCAGGGGGAGAAACGAGGTCAGGAGGGGTTGTTACTGCACTGAGCCAATGTAGAGGAAGTAGAGTCTGAAGTCATTACTAAGCGAGGCCATATACAGGAAGTGGATTCTGAGGTCATTAAAGAGCACAGTCATATATAAGCAGAAATATGAGGTCATCATTTAGCGCAACTATAAAAGATCATCCAGAGGAAAGAGCAGACAAAACAAGATTAGCGCGATTGCAAAACAACTCTCAGATGTTTTTAAATAAAACCTTAAAAGCTGAAAGTTTGATTTATGTCCATTTCAACGTGTCCACTCATTTAGGGGAATGCACTTGCATAATTGACACCATGCAACATAAGCAATAAACGAGCTAGTGATTTTATAGCCTTAGATGATTATATGATAACAAAATAGATGCTTTAAAAATATGATGTCCTCTGTTTTATGCCCCGTGTTTCCTGGGATAGGCTCCAGGCCCAAGAAGACCCTGTACTGCACGGACTATGGAAATTGGATGGAAGGGTGAATAGAATAAAAAAACAGACATTTAAACTGTTAGCCTGTTTAAGTTACATCACTTTTCACAACTATGGCCACAGTAAGCAGCTAAAAATATAAACAGTTTTTCATCCTTTCCATTATATTTCGGCTTGTATATAATTTACAAGCTTTAGCATTAGCAACCTACAAATAATGGTGCTTTTGAAAAACCCTGTTGAGAGCTGTTGCAATTTTCACGCAAGGCATTTACTCAACTTGCACAGTTTTTAAGCCTTGATCGGCCCAGTTTAGCAGAATTTCCTCCACTGCTCGTTAGCTACGTTCATGTCTTGTTTTCTGAAATCATACAACTGGTCAAGATCTGAGACGCTAAGAGACGATGAGACACCATTATGTGTTGGGGTCAGTGCCCGTCTGACGCTGTCCTTGTGTCTCTTCTCCGTGTGGCCGGCAGCCATTACTGACCATCCTGTTCCCTCCTGTCCTTGTGTCTCTTCCCCGTGTGGCCGGCAGCCATTACTGACCATCCTGTTCCCTCCTGTCCTTGTGTCTCTTCCCCGTGTGGCCGGCAGCCATTACTGACCATCCTGTTCCCTCCTGTCCTTGTGTCTCTTCCCCGTGTGGCCGGCAGCCATTACTGACCATCCTGTTCCCTCCTGTCCTTGTGTCTCTTCCCCGTATGGCCGGCAGCCGTTACTGGCCATCCTGTTCCCTCCTGTCTTTGTACCAGTCCCTTGCGTGTCTCCCCTGCTCCCCGGACCACCACATAGCTCAAAGGGCTGAGTGTGGAGCACAGAGGCTGTACCTTGCAGTTGTGGTTACGAGGCCAGCCTCACCTCTATTCTTTATTGTTTTTCTGTTTTTCTTTGAGTTTAATAGCCCTTTGCTTCCCTATTTTTGGTTTATCCTTAGTTTGATATTGTTTATCCCTGTGTTTAATTAGTCTTGTTTATGGTTCTCTGCCCGTGCCTTGGTTATCTTCTGTCTTATTGCTTCTTGATTTTCCTCCTAGTGTATGATTTCCCTGCTTCCCCTCAGTTTCAGGTTCCTTAGTTCTGTGTTCTTGAGTGTTAGTTTCTTCACCTGTGTCTTGTTGCCCTGTGTCCTCATTGATTGGTTGTTTTTGATGATTCACACCTGCCTTTTGTTGGTCCTCATTATCATTATATTAAAGTATCTGCCTTTGTTCTTCTCCTCAGTTGGTCATTGTGTGTGTTTTTTTTTTTTTTTTTTAAATATATACTGTGGTTCCTGGTCCTCCTGACCCCTCGTGGTTCCTTTTATTTTGTGGTTTCCTTTTGTGTTCTGCTTTGTTTAATAACCCATTTAGTCTCTGAGCCACAATTGGATCATCCTCTTTTTTCCTGCCTGCACCATCCAATCACGTCCGTAACATTATGAGACTCGCTAGTTCACACTAGTCTGGGTCTTATCTAAACCGGGCGTGCCGGCTCGTGACAGGCTTTCAGAGGATGTAGAACTGTCGAAGAGGAGGAAGTAGAGGCTGAGGTTTTTAGGAGTATGATGTCCTAATTGCAGTTTGCTAGACTCCATTATACTTCACACTGAGTGGTGGCTGACAGAGACCCAGGAGACACGAAAGGTGAGGGAGGAGAGCCGAATAAACCTGTCAGGAGGAAGTGAGGACTTTCATTTGAGGGCCCCATAACTGCTCTATCTTCTACTCAAATCCTGGTCATAATAACCCATACATTTATTTCCTGAACTCTAGAAATTGTATTATTTCTAGAATGCTGGCCCACATGTTGACTTTTATTGCACAATATAGTAGCATGCAGCTGTCATTGTTGATGAGTCTATATGCTCTTTTGGCTGCAGCAAGTCCATCGGTATGAATGAGTGCCAGACCTCACAAACCGTCTGCTATAGCCCACAGGTGTTCTGGACACCAGCCACGGAATGGAAGCGGCACTACGGCTGTGTGTTTGTCTGAGTCTGTCCTTCCATCTACACATATTCTCATTCTATATCTGTTCATATGGAAGAAATGAAGATGTGTCATTCTGTGGCGCACTAAAAACGGGCTGTTGTTTTCATCCTCTGTGTTGCCCCAGCAACACACTTGGGTCAGAATGTTTCAGCGAAGTCTGAGGGAAGATCTCACAGTGCCAGCTGATTAAGACCAAGTATACATAGTAGAACCGATAGACGGAATCAGTGGAGTGGGCCAGTTTTAAATAACAAGACAGCTGGAGCGTCTGGCTAATCAACGACTGTGCTAGTAGTTGAATATTCTTAGAAACACATTCAGGCTTGGCAAAGCAATTCTGGCAAGAAAATGCTAAGCTCGACTCTGCCGGACTGAGATCGTCGACTGAGGCCTTAAACTCAGGAATATCTGCCATGAAGAATCCCCAAGAAGAGATGTAAAATGGTGCATCGACTCACACTCCATTGTCTTGGGCCCTATAAAAAGCAAGCAAAAAGCACTTTTGGTTTTATAACAACTTCAACCACAAGAAACCCCAGCACCCTGTAAATCAGCTGTGAAATTCAAGGAAAAGGCACAAAACAAACACGTTTGGTTTTGTGTGGTTATGCGCTACCATGTGACAGGCCAAAGACGTCGAGTCCAGCAGTGACTGACCATGAGGAGAAATGATCATATGATCACTCTACTTAGGAAAGAGACAAAACCGAAAGAAAATAAGCTCTTGCTGAAAAGTTAAGAGTTAAGAGGCACTCCTGGCAACCTTTCAGCGTTCAGTGGAAGGAGCTCTCTTCAATAACAAAAGTATCAGTTGCAGCTTTGATTTTTAAATCTTTTTCGAAACTAATTGCTAACATGCTCCTGCAGCATGTTTCTGGCAAATCCAAGCCCAGTTAACAAAGGAGATGTTTGCTCACAATAGTGTGGCGCTACTGCTCCCCAACACACACACACACACACACAAAGCTGTACTCATATCTTTGTGGGGACCGTCCATTCAGCTCTATGGGCAAAACCCTAATCCCAACAATGACAACCTTAACCCCTACCCAGCTCTAACCTTAACCATAAGTAACCAAACAAAATACAGGTCTTTTGGCATTTTTTTCTTCATAAAATCGAATTTCCCTTATGGGAAATCGAAAAAAAAATGGTCCCCACAACATCAAAATAACATGTTTTTATCACATTGTAGGGACATTTGGTCCCCACAGTGTAATGTATATGTGACCCACACACATACACATGCACACACCATTCTGACTGGCCTGAGTCTGTTTAGAGGTCAGAATCCTGCCTCATCCAGCAATGATAGAGCCTCACCCCTAGGGAATCGTGCTTCCAGTCTCCTGTGTCTAGCTGAAGGCTGGATACTGGGCCGTAGCCCTCCCCCCTACCGTAGATGGAACTGCCCTGCACCACCTAGCCGGAGCACAAAGCCATGCTGCTACAATCTATCATCCTATCATGCCAACTCTGTTATGATCTGTGGTGTACTCCTCCATATCTTTGTCCACAATGATGTTCTGACTACATGACTTGTCTAATGTATTACTGCAATCTACGTTTCTTCAGATTCGCATGACACAATCCACAAACTCCTCAGTGACCGTCAGCATGGAGATGAAGGTGTGAGGGAGCTGGAAAAGATCAGGGTGCCATGCAGGGTGACAGTTTATTGGGAGGTCAAACCAGTGGGATTAAAGGTGAAGAGGGGCCGGGGGGGGGCTGCGCTGCTTACAACTTGACACTGGGGAGGTGAAAACCCCCCCCCCAACCCACCCATACCCCAACCCCCCTCGCGGGGAGTCGTCCAGGACACACTGAAGCAATTAGAGGCTCGTATAAATCAATTTGCAGTTGGTTTTAAAACTGATCTGTTCCCAACAATCCCTGGACAGGGTATGATTCAGGTTTGTTTTGATTTGTGAGTTCAGAACGCAGTGGGGTTTGGAATGGCCTGGGTTTAAGTTCTGCTTTGGGGTCGGTTGGTTGGAATGAATTGGGGGGGTGGGTTAATTCTATTCAGGGTGTGGTTAGTTGAAATAGAGTTGAGTTTCACGCCAGTTTGGGATAAGACACGTACTGTCCATCTTCTTCCTTCGATAGGTTACAACGAATACCTTTTTAAAATAAAACGTCAGTGCAATTCCATGGATAATCACCAGCTAGAAACAAACTGTGCAATGCTGTACATAGTGCCCTTTTTACTAAATGAAAGTGACCGTTGTTATATATTTAAATGTCAAATTTTAAAAATTCTGTCATTAAAAACTTGAGAAGTTATGGCTTAGCCTAAACTTTGGCCGTAGCAATTCTCAGATGTTAAATACATTTAATAGATCAACAGTAACTATGCCAGTAATTGCCATCGTGGAAAATACAAAAAATGTGCTAGTCATTCCTCATAGTGTCACACATATTACTCATTCATGCAAAATCAACAGAAATGCAAAGGACTTCGTGCCAGCCTGCTTGTGAAAGCGTACTGAAATAAACGAAATTCCCCGGACAAAGACTTGCACTGTTAATTTTGCGGCGACAGCTTTGCTGATTTTTCATTAGTTTCACGCCACTGCCATCTAGTGGCCGCATAAGGACAAGCAAAAGATTTCTAATACTTAGAATACAGTCGAAAATTGAGACCTCCAACAGTAACTGGAGGACTTGTAAATTATTTGAATACGTGTAAAGTTACATCTTCAGATTAAATAGTGTTTTCATTTTATCTGAACGATCCCATATCATATCACACCATACCAAAATTCATTTACGTAGGCGTCCATGCATCCACCTTCGAGATGTTTATCCAGTACATCTTCCCGGGGAAGCCTGGAGTTTCTCCCAGGCAGCACAGTGGGGAAGGCAGGGAACACCCTAGACGGGATAGTAGTTCATCTCAGGACACACACATACATAGCATTTAGCTAACTAGCGCCATTATTTTGCAATATAACAACAACAATGAAAATAAGAGAAGTTAATATCACGGAAACAAAAACACTAAATAGGCTACTTTTCCGTAATGATCCTAAAGAAATGTGCTTCTATCGTCAGTGTCCAAAGAATGAGTCTAGCGGCATTGGTAAATCCAATCAACTACTTCCGGGTAACAAAATCACATGACACACGCCTGACAGTAGTGACTGTAAGTACGAGGTGGCCGGAGATTATACTGACGATCACTGACACGCTTTTAACAAAGTTAGCCATGGATGAAGACGGTCTGCCGATTGTCGGTTCGGGAGTTGATCTGACAAAGGTGAGCTTTCGGTTGGTTTCTGTTCAGCAGTCTACGTCTTCCAGAGTGTAATCGGTGCTACAGTAAACGGAGCTGACAAGGGGCGCTCGTTTCGTTTTGTAATGAAAGTAGACATGCAAAGGAAAGTTATTCATATACAGATGAATATGGCAAATGTTTCCCCGAGCACAGCCCTCGCTGTGGAGCCAGTGAGCCCCTTGCGATCTGCCTGCCTGCACTTCCGTTTATTGACGTGCTCCACCTTCTCGGGTCCATCCCGCAGGTCCCGGCCATCCCGCAGAAACGAGTCGTTGCGTTTCTCAACCAGTTCATCGTGCATACGGTCAGGTTCCTCAACCGGTTTTCCACTGTATGTGAAGAGGTAAATAAACCTGTCTAACATATGCGTGATATTATAATAAACGTCGTTGTTAGTGTTTGGGTAGCAGACATACTGCTCTTGTGTCTATTTCAGAAACTAGCCAGCATATCCCTTAGGATTCAGCAAATTGAAACCACTCTCAGCATTTTGGAAGCAAAGGTTAGTTGTATTTTTCTCGTGTATCATGTGTATGTCTAGCCCACACTGCTTCTTTAATTTTTGTAGTTTGATTGTAGTTTGCATTAGTTGGTAATGTTGATTTATTATTATTATTATTAAATGAGAAAATGCCTGTGCTTAGATGCACATGGTCAGACCCAGAGGTCTCTGGGCTGCAGCCCGGTAAAGCCTGTATATTAAAGCCCCTTTCCTGTGGCGATACTGAAATTGTGTCATGGTTTCTTCAACCAGCTGTCCTCTATCCCTGGTCTGGAGGACGTGAGAGTGGAGGGAACCACTCGTGCACAGGCTGAGCCCAGTGGCCCTGTGCTGATGCCTGGGCAGTCAGAGAACCCTACAGCAGCATCATCTCCAGAGGTATCCATACATAAACTACTTAACCTAGTTAAACATCTCCAATGTCTGCAGGCACCTTATCTAAGATTTTGTTTGGTTTAAGGTTAATATATGGTGACGTTTTCATTATTTTTCCAATCATTCCCATTCTGGAGATTTCATCCCTGTCGCGTGTTTTGGTTACAACTTCATCAGCATGTTGTATATCGTGCGTCAGTACTGTGGTGTGATGTACTTCCACAGAATCCAGAGGAATCACAACAGCAACATCGGGCAGATGAGGGTAGAGATAACATCATGACTGTGGCCAAGGACCCACGCTATGCGAGATACTTAAAGATGGTGCAGGTGGTAAGTGCGGAGTAAGGGCTTAACTGTGGGAGGAAGCCGACAGGGCTGGTCTTCAGATACTCGGCATTTATTCTGCCTTGGGGGTAATTCTACATCTTTTTAAATCTTAGGGTGTTCCTGTCATGGCCATAAAAAACAAGATGATACTTGAAGGCTTGGATCCCAGCTTGCTGGAGTAAGTTCCCCTTCCGGAAAGTTCTACCACTCCATCTGCACTGATATTTCTTCGATTACAGCTAATGATGTGAGGCTATGAAAGAGATGGATGGGACTGTTGTTCAAAAAAAGTAATTTGTGCTAGTTCAAGTACTGGTTACAATGAGATGCTTACTTGTGCGTTCCCTGCATACTGGGTAATTCAACACAAGGTAAGTACAGTGTGTAAACATTTAGTACAGCTACTCTCAACCCATGGGTTGCGACCCAAATCAAGTTCTGAAAGAGTTGCGAGCTTGGAAATGCACGCATTTTAAAACAAGCAAGCTCCGATACTTATCCGCACTCAGATTTCCCAGCCCCAGTTAACCTATGTAGATGGGGTTTGGGTCTGCAACTGGTGAGTGCAAAACTAGGGAACACTCAACCAATCCAAGAAGCCAAACCACAGATGCTTAATTTAAAATTCACTGGCACATCCAATCAGATTTGCCCGATAGGCATCGATTGGCATAAATTGCAGTGTTCACTGCGTGTTTGATCATAGCATTAATTTATACCTGTACTTGACATAGGGTCGCAGCTGAGCTGGTAAAACTTGGGTCGTAGTAAAAAAAAAAAGAACCATTGACTTAGTAACAGGACATAGGCCAACAATAAGGTAAATAAATATAAGTATGAATATGTAAATATAAATGTTGGGATATGGATGTATCTGGAAGAATAAATGGTATAATTATGTACAGTATACATGCATAGCAGCAGACAATAGCACTAAGGCAGGGGTGGCCAATCATCCGCAAAGGGCCGGTGTGTATGCAGGGTTTTAGGATAACCTTTAGGTCAGCTGTTCAAACCCAGGTGTGAGGACTCTTCAGCCAATCAGTCCTCTAATTAGTAATCTAAGTAGGGAGTTGCAGTGAAAACCCGCATGCACAGCGGCCCTTTCTGGATTAGACTGCCCACCCCTGTTCTAGGGATATAGGGCTGTAATGGGATCAGTACAAAAACAGCTCCTGATCACAGATTTCAACTCGCCTCTTACTGGATTGTACTGGAATGAACCGGTGATTGACAATGTATGTGAAATCCACCCTCCTACAGCTGTTTCTCCAGATATAATCAGGCACTTCTACTAAAGGCAGTCTTGTGCACATTGCCGGGCATGTTTTGACTCTTGCTACTGTATCAGTGCATCTCTGCTCATTTCTCTAAGTAGCAAATTCCTGCCCACCCTGTACGCGCTGCTCCTGCAACTAGCACGACTGGGGGCGGAGCCAGAACATTGTCTGAACTGTTGTCATATCCTTGTCAGAGCTGATTTCTAAGTTGTAGTTATAAAATATCGATCCTGGGAAATGTCCTGTTCATTTTAATTCCAAGGCTTCCAACTACTAATCTGACCCATTTTAAAAATAAAATGTTAAGCTAAACTTAGTTTCACAGTTTCCACATCCATGTAGCAGTTTATTTACTTAGCAGTTGCGGTTGCGTATGTTGCTGAATGGTACAACAGCTTTGCCTGTTCTTTCTGTTTGATTATGTGATGGATTCCTCCTTCCTCCTTTCCATCGTCAGTAATCCTGAAGCCCCAGTGCCAGATGGAGGAAAGAAGAATGTAGAAGAGGAAGACAATAGCTCCGGCAGCGAATCATCCTTCAGCGACTGACCCCCTCCCGTGACGCAGCCATCTCATTTTAGGATTAAAAGACTGGAATAAACGTTACTGGCTCCTATACCATCCTCGTTCACGCCAGGCTGGCGGTTCTGCGATGGCTGGGACCTCATCAGTGTAGAAACTCAAATTGTATGCACTCCCAGGGGGGAACAACGTATGATCACTGGGTGAAATAGGAAGGAAGGGGAGGAGAAAATGGGGAAGCCCCAGGACCTTGACTGGGGCTCCCCTGTTAGGCCTAACTGCAGTGAACACCTGCAATTGTGTGTCACACCCAAGGACATGTGACACATGACTCAGCGAAGGCCTAATATGGACATGCACTTATCAGGGGTTTTCTTCTTTAATGACGTTTTCATTCTAACTTGGCTACTGATTGAAGATCTAAATACAGTATAGTTTAGGTGTTATAGTAAGAGAGCTGGAAAGTCCAAAGTAGCGTCATCCAGAGTCTCTCTCACCTGTTCTTCACTCTTATTGGTTCCTGTCTTGTTTCGTCCCAAATATGTCCCTTCGAGATCTTATTGGCCAACACATCCTTGTACAGCACAGCATTTGTGCTAGATGTCATCACTAGAGACAGACGAGTTGTCTTAAAACCAGGGTTCGAATTAAAGCTCAGTGTTTCGTAATGGTTTCTGATGAGCTATTCATTTGTGAGCTGCTTTGGTTCGTCAGGGAGTTTTGAGTCTCTGAGGAATTTCGAGGATGACTGTAAATGGAGAATTGGGGGGCCAGGAGCCTATGCCACGCTTTAGTGTTCATTAACAAAATGTGTCTAACCTACTGTTATGATGATGAGAAATAAATTGGGTATAGTTGGGTTCTTTTGGGGAAAAAACTAATATAACATCCAAGGCTATGAAGTCAATAGCTTGTGAGTAATAAAAATCCAACATCTGTAAAAACAATTCGGTTTTATTTCAAAGTGCATGATATGTCTGTAGGTTAAGTGCAACTTTAAACAAAAAAGTCAAAATATAAACATGTTATTTTTATCCATTAAACAATTTTGTCAGTAGTGGACTGACACTTTCAGTTTCAGTGTGACTTTCTGGAAAAGAAAAAAAATACAAGGTGGTAATCATTAATCTACAGCATTATTTCAGATTACCCATTACCCAAGTTTTATGACCTGTGGTTATAAACCATTTTCTGAAACTTTTAACTAATATGTAAATGTCACACAGTTGTTTACAAGGTTTTATGTAGTGTGCAATATAACAGATGAAAACAGTCAGGTATAGAGGTGGAGAGTAGAGATGGATACAGTCAGGCATAGAGGTGGAGAGAGTAGAGATGGATACAGTCAG